ATGGTGTTGTGCCTTATGTTGCTCCTGAGGTTTTATTAGGTCAAAAGCTCACGAGAGCTGCCGATATTTACGGCTTCGGTGTCATCATGTCAGAGATGTCAACTGGTCAAAGAGCTTTTGATGGTTATCAATTTGATGATAAACTTGCTGTGAAGATTTGCTGCGGATTACGGCCAGAATTTGCTCCTGGAACTCCAAATTGCTATATTGAGTTGGCTAAACAATGCATGGATGCTGATCCACAAAAACGGCCCACTGTTTGGAATGTCTATAAGAAACTTGATAAATTGTATAATATCATGCAAAGTTCAGATGAAGTAAATGATTCAGACGATAAAAATTCGGTTGAAGCAAATAAATCAAATGATTCAGATGAAGTAAATAATTCCGACAAAGAAAATTCAGTTGAAGCAAATGATTCAGATGAAGCACATGATTCAGACGAAGATTCAGTTGTAGTAAATGATTCAGATGATAAAATTAAAAAGCAATTCTTAGAAGCAGATAAAGTAACCAAAGAATTGCCAATTTTTTTACCAAAACATCCGGACTTTATGTATACTAGCAAAATTATCTACACGCAAAAAATATCAGATGCAATTAATGGTAATTTTATAAAATTATATTAATTTAGTTATTTGATTAAAGCTAATTAATTATATTATATTATATTTGCAGCTTTAACAAGTCAACATATTGATTCTGTTGAAATTCCTATTGGTATGTATTATTATACTTACTGCATTTATAATTACAATTTATTACTTACTTTATATTGGTATTTAGATTAATTGCTTTAAGGGTATAAAGCTTATTTATTGATATATAATTTTAATGTACTATATAATCTCGATTTGACTAACGGCTATTAAAATAAAAATATACAATAAAAAACATATTTAAATTTGGAAAAATGCTAGTTAAAATTCTTTGCATATTTTCATGAAGATTTAAAATTGATAAATTTAATTATTTTGTTCTAAACCTGTACAAATGCCACTTAAGATGCCTAAACTTTCGTTATACCTATTTTAGTGATATGTCGTCCTTCTAAACTAGTTTATTCACTAAAATTAATGCTGATTAATGCGCATAGTCTTACAGTTAGTATTATTATATACAACTTTTATAGCATTTTACATTATATTACAATGTATAATGGTCTCTGTACATTGGAAAATTTTGATACCTGTTTATAAACTCGTACAGGGGGATCCCCAAAATTCCGGGTCGGAACCATCGAATTTAGCCCGGAATTTTGGAGATCCCCCTGTATGAGTTCTGATTATAGGGTACGGGACAGGGACGTGGAAAAATTTGGATATCATATCATAAATCTTTATTTGTATATCAAGTAATATTGGGGTAAAATTTGGATAAAAAAATTAAAAATTTGGAAAAATTTGTATATTAAATTTTATTATTTCGTTGAATGAAATACAGCATATTTAGCATTTTCAATGAATCTTCACTTAAATTTTGCCTATCTTCTAAAAATTATTATAAACTGAAAAACTTCTTTCTACAGTGCAAGAAGAAATAGGCAATCAAATATAAATTGAAGCTATATTACTTAAAATCGGAAGTGAAGAAAGCATTTTAACCCAAAATTCTTCCAAATTATTAATTTTAATTAAGGTCAAATCTAGATTACAATAAAGTCCTCATTTGTGTAATAATTCATTGAAAAGATTATTAAATTCAGAAATTTGTGTTATATAATTTTGAATATTATGAATAATAGTAGTTAATTTAATAAAGTAGGGATTAAAATTTTGTATTGCAATAAAAAGAGATTGAAAAAAATGATGTAAAAAATGATAATTAAATTTTTTATATACAGCAACAAAAACTGCTTGAAATACAGGATTAAAAACATGTGGTTTAAATTCAAGATTTGTAATACACAAATTCACCTTATTTCCAAAATCTGTACTAGATTCATTATTTTTTAAAAAAATTTCAAGCTGCTGTATTCTATTTTCAACAAATGAAATAACCAGATTATTTTCAAGTTGAAAAAAATTGAGATCTGTAATAAATCTTTCAGCATATTGCTGAATAAATGTCAAATAAATTTGAATTTGATCATATTCTTTAAGATTATTAAAAATATCTATAATTTTGTTAATCATTTTGGTTAATTCACTTTTTTGTTCTTCTTTATAAAATCCTTAAATATATTTTAAGTAATTACACAAATAAAATGCCATTCAAAACCAGGTATTCCAATAGGTTAAAATTAGTAATGAAATAAACTTTAATAATAAATTTGATTGTTGATTTAATTTGTAACATGTTAGATAATGCATATATTAAGTTTTACAAGCTCTAGCATATGTAAAAGTCTTTTTAATATTTATGATTAACATTTTAATACTATTAAAATAAAAAATTGATGTTTATGATTTGCTAAAAATAAATACAATAAATAAATATATTAAAGTTAACATCATATATATATATAAAATATATTTTTTTATTTATATATGTAAAAATAATATTAAATTCATTTATCTGATTAAATTTATTATATGAGCTGAATAGATATTATGTTTTAACTATAATTTTATAGGACTTAAAGCTTTATAAAAATATTTTTTTATATAAGCAACAGAATCTGAAACAATTACTTTAGGAAAAGTAAAAGAAATATTCTATTCAGTCAAAAGTCATAAAATAAGACCACCTATAATTAAGTAATTTACTATTTGTATAAAATCAACAGACGCAAGTTTTGTTACTTCACAGTAAAAAAACAACATATTAACTACATTACACCCTTTAGCATTTATTGTTTCATTGATTATAATCACTATAAGGTTTTCACTAAATATATGATATAAGCTTTCTAAGTAGTTTTCAAAAACTATTAGTAAGTATGACTAATGTAAAGTATTAGTTGCAGGTATACAACCATCCTCTTTGCAATATGTATTCAAGAATTCACAGAACTTGTCAAGCTTCTCTAAGGGTATGTTAGCCTTAGCTTAGACTTGAACAAGATTACAAAAAAATTATTTTTTTTTATTAACCACCATTAAAACTGAAAGAAGACACAATTGTTAGGTTTGGTTTGAGAATTTCAAGTAAGCTTCATGTTTTTTTTTGTGGCTTTGGAATTTATATGTGCTATAATAAAAGCCTTATTTTTATAACTAATATTGTAATTACAAAAGTAGCATATAAGCTTCCTAGAATTAAAAATAAAGTGTTTTAAAAACTTTTGTATACAGCTATAGATGCTTGTTTTTTTAGAAAGACTCATTTTTGTTGATTTATTTTTTTTTATTTATGTATATTCAGAAACACAACTTTCAAATACATATTCAAAAGACAAAAAAAACAACTATGTATTGTTAATATTAAGAGTTTTACATATTTTTGACCATAAGTTTTGATGTACTAAACCAAATTGGATGAAACAATCACTATTAGATTTAGCTTACTGAGGCAATTCTAACAAGTACAAGATCATGTAATTCTAATCATGGAATCACAAGTATAAGATCATGTAATTCTAATCATAGAATTATAAGATCGGAACAATTTTGATGAAAGCACTAATTCTAGTATATGTGACTTGATTCTGATTGACTCACATTACTGTGCTAAAAATCTAACAAATCTAACATTTCTAACAGATCTATTAGATCTAACATATCTACATATCTAACAGATATTATATATCTATTATATCTATCATTTCTATTATATCTTTTATATCTATTATATATATTATATCTATTATATCTATTAGTTCTTATTACTATAAATAGCATTTATTAGCAATAGAGTAGTCTTTATTGTAATAATTTATATATGTAAAATATCTATAAAAGCACTACTTTCTGACTCTTCTAGAAATTTAAGTGGCTCTATACATTTTAATAGAAAGTGTCTTTATATATTTTAATAGTTAATAAACTGAATACAATATTTAATATCTTTATATATTATCTATTGTTGCCTCTGCCTTAAAATCCCAAATTACTCTGTATTTTATTAAGTCTTGTGTAGACTTTTGTATAGAATCTGTTAAGTTATAGTTATTATACTATAGTTAAACAGCTTCTGTTATTACTATGAATGAAGAAAAAACTACAGATTAACAGTATATTCAAAAGAACAAATTTTGGCTTATTTGTATTCAAAAAACAAACTATTAAATAATTTATACTAGATTCACATGTAATATTATACACATTTTGATTGGTTAAGCCTATCAGCCAGATCACATGAATTCAAAAATGACTAAAATTTGGGTATGATTTGGATATTTATGGGCCAAAATTTGAAAAATTTTGGGTTAAGTATCAAAGTTTGGAAATTTTGAAATTGAAGGTCAAAATTTGAAAAATTTTGAAAAAATTTATTTTCAAATTTTTCCATGTTCCTAGTATGGGACATATAGGCTAATTTTCTTGTGATTAGTTAATTTTATTTAATTAAATTTATACAGTTTAGAGGACTTTTCTTCCCTAATATAGTAAATTTTGTTTAATATATAATCTCTGTTTATAATATTACAAAAGACTTTTTACAAATAATGCTTTAAGAAATTTATATATTTCTGGAATTTATCTTTCCTAGGTATACTTTACTTAGAGACAATTTTTCAACTTAGAAAAATAGTAATAAGGTAATAAACACATTATTTATTGTGAAATCATGTGGTTCTGTGCTTTTTTACTGTACTTTTTTATTATTCAAAGAAGATATTGAAAATAAAGTTTTATTAATTAATTTTTCAATATATAAGAGTACAAATAAGTAATGCTAATAGTTGTAATATGTTGTCTAAAAGTAAAATTTATAAGATTAAAGAAACAAAGATCTATATACATATTATTAATATTATACTAGAGAGTTATTAAAAATAGTTGAATAAGTTTTTTAAAAACAAGAATTATGATGTTTTAGAATAGTAACATTTTATTATATTAATAATTTAAGAAATTTTAAAGACAAAGATATTTGAATAAAGAAAAAAATCAGTCAAGAGCTTTACTAATAAATACAATTTTTAAATTTTATTAGTTAATTATCACATGTTTGAATATTTAACCAATTATAAATTACTATTCAATTTCATATAATTGACCAATTATGAGAAAGTTATCTTATAAATATGAAACAGATTGTGGTTTGACCTAAAATTTCACAGGTCAGATCAGGTTTAGATTTAAATCAGGTTCAAATTACAAATAGATTAGGCTTGGGTCAAATTTGGGTTCTGTTTATTGACTTATAAAATCTGATTATACCTGATATAATTTTAAAATAAGGTAGCTGTTGTGATACAGATATACTAGAAACCAGAAACAAAAACAAATATGATAGTTAACAAATAGTTCAAGTAATATACAAACAAGAACTGATTTAGCATCTTATTAATATATTGTAAAGTATTTTTTAATATATACTACCAAGCAGTTGACTTATAGTAGACAATTACACAAAAGTTTACAAGACATCCTATAATAAATTATCAGATTATCTGAAAGATTATTTTGCTATTGCCTTTAATAATCATTAAATATTAGATATATAGACAAGTTAATAAATGTAATCCAAAAAAATAACTTATTATTGATAATATTTATAATATACTTATTAATTAAAATGAAATCATAAAAACTTCAAATAGGATATAGTGACCTAGTAAAATGGTTAAATTGTAAACCCTTCAAGTAGTAGATTGGATGTTCAAATTCCATTAATGATAAAAATTTGAATAATTACCTATATAATATTTATATTATAACAATTGTTACTAATAATTGAATTTGGATATCTGTAATAGTAGTCACACTAGTATAACTAATAAATCATAGAGCATTTGTGTAATTTGTTATACAAAGAAATGTAAATTGATAAATTAAACAGTGCAAACACTAAATAAGTTCTTGTAATTATATAAATCTGTTAAAATTAAGTAACAAGAAGTTTATTTGAAAGGACCTGAATAGAGAAATACCTAGATTTTTAACAATTTACTGTAAAGTTTAATTTGAGAAAATAGATATCAAGATCATAATATATAGTTATAGTAACCAAATAGACAAGGATCTCTGAATTGAAAATCTTAAAAATATTACCAATCAGGCCATTAGAATAAACTAAAAAAAAAGAATAACAGGTCAACTTAATATACCAATAAACTGGTTATAGTTCTACACAGACTATTCAGATTAAGAGTTTAGTAAAAATGCAAATAAAAAAACAGATATACTAAAGTACTAAAGTTATGCTATAAAATATATGCTAGGGTTTGTGTGAACTCTACAAAAATATAGTGCTTAAATAATATAATTCTGACTGCAAGTGTTGGTTTTGCTATAGCAATATCTAGATTAACTATAAAAATAGATACAGAAGGCTCTGGAGAGTTTATTTCAAGATTAAATTAGTTCTAAAGTTGAGATGATAATCTGGACATTTGGATATAACCTAGTGAGTTAATACTGTTATGAGTAGATTCGACTCTAGGACCTGGAGAAAATGTTGCGTAATGACCACAATCTGCATCACAAAAACCGTCGTACTATGATACTCGTAACCCAAGACAAATCAAGCTCCTCATTAAGTGACGGCGCCGATCCATTAAAGAAAAAGCCACTTGCCTGATTTGGAATTCAACTGTCAAAGTAATATTACCTTGACAGGAAAAGTCTGTGGCCGTGTCAATGCGTTGTCATATGTTGAATTGTATGCTGTTGTGGGATGATGCTAAGGTAATGATGAATGAGTTGTAAGAAAAAGTGAAAAGTGTTAGTAAAAAAAGGAAAAACGGTCTATGACTATGAGAAAAAGGGTGTCAAAGCCATGTTCTAAGTTTCCTCTTTTTTTCTTCAAAAATGTTTTATAAAAAAGTGCTTTCCCGCCCTATAGTAAAAGGAGTTCTGCCCTGAATCACCTTTAACTTGTAACCTGCTCTAAAATAATTAATAAAGTTTTTAATTAATAAACTAACTAAACTGTCAAAATAAATAAATAAATAAAAAACCCTACACTCCTTTAAACTCCTCTGGTAACGTTCTCAAGGCCGCCATAGACTAGTGCCAAATCGAATCTGCCTCACCTGCCTTGAGCGACATTACGTGACATCGACAAATTCGAAGCGACAATTTGTCGCATTCCTTCTTGTCCCTATAGTGCTATTCCCGACCTTGTACCCTGTATCAATACAGATTACAGTTTCAGAAGATTTAAAGTGAAATATCCAAGCAGGAGTATTAGATATAATAATTGGTAAAAAACCTTCAGGTGATTTCTTAAATAGGTAATATAGAAAAGTTATATATATAACTAATTGTACTCTCTTTTGTAATAGTTTATAGAATTACATTATCAAAAAAGTTATTAATAAAAATTAAAAGATCAAAAAGGTTATATTAACACTAAAAAAAAAAAAAAAGTTCAAATCATATATTATAAAACTTTACTAAAATATCTAAACTTTATATATACTAGCAAACTTATCAATACACAAAAAATATCAAATATAATTAAAAGTAAACTGTAAAATTACTTTATTTATTTAAAGATAATTATATTATATTGGTGGTTTTAACAAACCAACTTATTAATTTTTTTTTACTATTACTAAGATTTATATTAATGATAACTATTGCT